TTTTTTTTTTTTTTTTACGTAGAATATCATTCTTATCTCTTGTTTAGTTATTCTAATACTAATAAAATTATAACGGACTTTTTCAACCTAATTGTATCTTAGTTTTTTCAAAAAAATAAAAATATTAATTATTATAAAGTAAATCCTAATTACATTGAATGTGTTATATTTTGTATCATTATCGATAATTTTCAGAATAGTTAACTGCACATAATATTATATATAATATATCGATATAATTTATTGCTAAAATTTAATCAATTTTCAAGGTATATATGCATATCATGATTCTCCAGATATTTTTATTTAATTTATAGATTATAATATGATCTAAATTGAATGTTTCTCAAGTGGTATCTCATTCGACATGAAAATAAATAGTATGGGTTTTAATATTATACAATTTCGTAAAATTATTCTAATCATATTTTAAGAAAGAAATTGAGTATATTAGTAGTTCAAGCTGCAAAATAAGAATTCAACTGTTCTCATACTACTACACAATTGTTTTTTTTTATATAGGTTATTTTGGAAAACAAAAAATGTTTCTATACTTTATGGGCATTATAAGGACAAACATTATCGATTTTAATTTTGTTTACTTATAGTTGTTAATAATAGATGATTAATGGTGTTTTTTCATATGATTTGTTGGTAAAAATTAATTAACTTCAGCGTATATAGACATATCATGATTCTCTAGATATATTAATTAATTTATAGACAATCTTATGATCAAAACTAAATCAAGTTGCTCAAGTAGTATTCGATAGGAGAACAATTGGAATGACTTTTAGTATTAGAAAATTTTATAAAATTATTCTAATCTTATTTAAATAAATACATTTAGTAGATTAGAAGTTTGAGTTGCAAAACAATTATTCAACAATTTATCTCTAATAGTGTTACACAATTTTTCTTTCTCATATGTTATATTTTTACATTAAATCCCTTTAGTCCCATTATCATATTATTTCTGAAACTTTCGTGGAAAACAACCTAAAATGACTCGATGAAAAATACAGATCATTCAACAAGAGTTTTCATTGGTAGTTAGTAATTCATTGTATGCTCACACAAAGTTCCATTGGTAGTTAGTAATTCGTTAATGCACATAAACGAATTGACTTCATAAATCGGTCGAAAGTTTCCTCAAGAGCACATAAACGAATAGATTTTATAAATCAATTGAAAGTTTCTTCAAGAGCAACTTGTATAAATCCGGCTATGAATTGTGAAAAACCCATTACCACTCGAAAAAGAAAAGCGAAGAGGACCGACGTGGTGCCGCTTTGGACGGCCAATTTCCGTGAGGCCGGTGACTGTATCTCGTTTTCTTCTATGAGAACAGTTTTTTTTTTATTAATTTTTTTTTTACAGTTATCCTCTTGATTTCTTCCATCCTTGTCCAAGAATGGCTTTGATTTTTATGTACATGATCAATTTTCTTACAAAAAGCACAAAAAAATCCATACCATTAAAATGCAATCATAAAAAAAAATAAAAAAAATTAGGGGCATTTCCGTGAGTACATGACCGCATGCTTTTGTTTGATCTTCCAGATTTTATGCGGATAGCTACGCTGCATAACCTTGGTTAGGTATTTAAATTATTATATATTAGTTAATCTATCAGATACATGTATTAAAATTACGAAGTTGCCATTATAAATATGACATAATAAGGTTATTTTAGGCTATTGATATTTTTACAGATTCATTGACACTTTTATTATAGTATAG